TACACACACACACTGTAAATAAATATTCAATTAATGTAATTATATTGGGATCTAATTTTATTTAGAAATTTACCAGTAGCTGCTGCATTTCCCACCCTAGGCTTATACGCGAGTCAATAAATTTTCCCAGGTTTTTGAGCTAAAATTAGGGGCCTCGGCTTATATTCGGGTCGACTTATACTCGAGTATATACGGTAAATAGTGGGTAATTCTCTATATCAATTTTGATATAATAAAAATTATTAAATTAATTTTTGATTTTTATGAAAATATTATTTTTAATATTATCACCCCATAAACCTGCAGTGTGTGGAAGGCAAGATTATTAATACCAGGAAATCCTATGAGAAAACATCATGCCATTTTTGAGGAAGCTGAAACTTGGGCTTTACTGGACCTTCCAACAAGACAATGATCCCAAGCATACCTCAAATTCCAAAGATTGGTTGCAAAAGACGTCCTGGTAAATCTACAGTTGTCATCACAGTCACCTGATTTAAAACGCATAAAAAAATCTTTGGTGGGATTTGTTAACAGTAGTAGGTTGCAGAATGCAAACCCAAGAATATTACTGAACTGGAGGGCCATTGTTCATGAGCAATGGGCTACGATTTCTCAGAAATGCTGCCAGAAGATAGTGTCTGGCTATGCATCACATTTGCAGCAGGTCATAAAAGCAAAATAGTGCTCTACTAAGTACTAAAGATGATTGCCATGAAGAGGTTGAATCATTTTGAGACTGGAGAATTTTTTATAAGTTGCATTTTCAGTTGAATTTGAGGAAACAACTTGAAACATTCATTGTGTTGTAGCTATTCCATGCTTTTGTTTGATTTGTTCATTGCAAACAGCTGAAAGTCTGTAACTATTGGCAATAGATAGTTTTTCACTTGTAGTTGAATTATTTTTTATGACAACTGTATATATATCAGCCTCTTAATGAAGGATCAATGTGAAGTGATCATCTTCACTTTGATGTTGAATTGGAAGTACATTTGAGCACAGTCTTAAGTAATATTCTTCAGAACATGTGAATGTATGGAAAACCCCAAAAGCATAAATGCAACACAAAGAAAATGCTTATAGATTAGCTTGTATAATTAGAGGAAAATGGCAACTCACTCTGAAAGTCCTTCTTGAAAGGTCAAGTATTATAGGGTTGAGCAGTTTGATCCGCGCTCTGGGATATGTATACGTCAGATGTCTTCAGAGCAAAGAGTAAAATATAAAACACAAAAGAGATATATAGTGCTCTCTGTTTATGAATAGAAGTAAAAAATGAAAAAATAATTCTACTCACCATTTTTTAAGGCAGACGCTGCTCTAAAGCTTCAATACAGATGGTAAGATCCCCACCATGGTTATGTGAGTAGCCCATTTATAGCTCAAGGGAAATCCAATTAAAAGCCAGGATTTATAAGAATATACATATATAAATATCCAAGGGTTTATTAAGACTAAAAGACAAACAGCTTACAAACAGCATAAAAGACTAAAAAATACACACATAAATGCTTTTTATTACATGAACCAAGATGGTGGTCATGTGATAACAATAAACTCTAATAATTGGAAGTATAAGTAAGTCAAAAAACTGCCTTTGTATATAGCCATAAAATTGTACATCACACGATGGCTAGTGCAATGTGAGACATGTAGTAAACCCAATATGGGCAAGTATACAGTAGAAATATATATATATTTATTTAATAAAAAATATATTTAAAAAAAACAAACAAATGAATGAAGTTAAGGAATGAAAATAAAAGGCCCTATTAGATCATTTAGACGTTTCCAAACTTATATTATTGTCAAGAAATTTGTTAGAAATGTTTTTCTAATGGTTCCAGTCACAAAAAAGTAATGAAACTATAAATATAACCAGTCATCCGACCGAAGACTTACAATACGTCAGAGCCAATCTCAAACAAAAATCCAAATTTTACCCATTTAACCAATGAACAGGACAAATTTGAAAAATTAGTGCAAATAGATATGGAGAACATAAAGAAAAAGAAAAACGTCTATATTTTGACAAAAAGAGAACCAGAGATGATAAAGGAACTTCAAACCAATGATGAAATCATGATCAAACCTGCCAATTAGGGTGGTGGTATTGTAATTATGACTAAAGAGAGGTACCCACCCCACATATTAATAACAATACCAGCTTTTTCGAAAAAGAGAAAGAACTTAACATTTTAAATAAACCAGAATTGTATTACTTAAATGTTTTACACCCCATCACTCCAGTTATTTAATTTTTACCCATAATACATAAAAATGAAACTTCCCCACCCGGGCATCTTTACCTTTTGAAATATCTTAACAACTTGTAATGGAAAGCCTGGTATTATCGAGTGATCTTTTGCCACTATTCTAAAAATTGGAATCTAATCTGTTCACAATATCTAACAAATATTCTCCCTAAAATATGAATACATTTTATCATAGATGACATTAATATTATATTGTCTAATAAACATCTTTGCTTTCTTGACTCCTTTTATCTTTCAAACATGATACTGCCGTGGTGCCGTTTTTTCACCACAAGTTTTGCCAAGCTATTTATGGCTGAATGGGTAGCTCCTAGAGTTGAGCGGACACCTGGATGTTCAGGTTCGCCGAGTTCAGCCGAATTTCGTCAAAAAGTTCGAGTTCGGGCTCGAACTTGACCCCGAACCCCATTGAAGTCAATGGGAAACCAAACTTTTGGGCACTAAAATGCCTCAAAAAAAGTCCTGTAAAGAGCTAGAGGGCTGCAAAATGAAGTGAAATGGGGGTAAGAGTAGGACAAGTGCCCTGCAAACAAATGTGGATAGGGAAATCACTTAAAATAACAAAATAAGCAGCCGCTTAGTAGATAACTCCCTAATTCCCACGTTATTAGGGAGCTATCTACCAAAAGGCTGAAAGACCTAATATCGTGAGCGGTGGGTCGGGGCCCTAAATAACAATGAGGGGGGTGCCTACTGTCCTCCCCCATCCCCCACCCCTGAGTGGCGGGTGGGGGCCCTAAATAAGAATGAGGGGGTATCTAATGTCCTCCCCCCTAGCCCTCACCCCTACACGGTGGGTGGAGGCCCTAAATAAGATTGAGGGGCGGGATCTAGTGTCCCCCCCCAGGCCCCCACCCCTGCACGGTGGGTGGGGGCCCTAAATAAGATTGAGGGGGGACCTACTGTCTTCCCCCCAGCCCCCACCCCTGAGCTAAAATTGTGGTGGGGACCCTAATTAAGAATGAGGGGGGAACCTACTGTCCATCCCCCCGTCCCCCACCCCTGAAAGGTGGGTGGAGGCCCTAAATTTAGAATAAGGGGGGACCTATTGTCCTTCCCCCCGGCCCCCACCCCTGCGCGGTGGGTGGGAGCCCTAAATAAATATTTATCCCCCCGTCTCCCACTTCCCCCCCAAAAATAACCCCTACCTACCCCCCTCATCCTAAAAATAATGAAGGGGGAACATAAGCTAGATACCTGTAAAAATCTTCTTTTGGATTTTTATTTGGCCTTTTTGGGGTCTGAAAAAAGAAGATTTTAGAAGAAAGAAGACATCAAATGGTAAGTTTATTTTTTTATTTTTTTACAGGTATCTAGCTTATGGTCCCCCCTCATTATTTTTAGGATGAGGGGTATAGGTAGGGGTTATTTTTTTGGGGAAGAGGGGTGACAGGCGTGGTTAAATTTTTAATAGGCCCTCCCTTATTCTAAATTTAAGGTCCCCACCTGCCGCTCATGGGTGGGGGCCGGGGAGGAGGACAGTAGGCCCCCCCATTGTTATTTAGGGCCCCCACCTGCCGCGCAAGGGTGAGGGCCGGGGGGTGGACAGTAGGTCCCCCCCCTATTCTTATTTAGGGCCCTCACCCACCGCGCAGGAGTGGGGGCTGGGGGGAGGACAGTAGGTCCCCCCTCATTGTTATTTAGGTCCGCAACCCGCCATGCAGGGGTGGGGACCGGGGGGAGGACAGTAGATCCCCCCCTCAATCTTATTTAGGGCCCCCACCCACCACGCAGGGGTGGGGGACGGGGGGGGAGGACAGTAGTCCCCCACACATGCTGCACTGGCCAATCACAGCCATACCATTAGTAGGCATGGCTGTGATGGCTTCTAAGGGCACACAAGTCAAACGCTTGTTGATTGGCTGCCCTGCAGCCTTTGAAAACGTGCCATTAAATCGACGAACACCGAACTCCAACCCTCCAACCTTTACAGTTCGGGTTCGCTCAACTCTACCAGCTACCACCATTTGGTGAAACCACAAATGAGTTAATAATCTGATCTGCTTTTCTTGATATATTTTTTTTTTTTTTTTTTGTTAATCAGTTTTTATTGAAGCCAGTCAGTAGGTAAAGTTGGGCTCGCAGGCCCGCATTTATAGTAGAATACTAGGTTACACAATAAAAGCATCAGATATCAAAACAGTATAAATATGTGTGGTTATAATCTATTACAATAGCAATATTAGGTAACATGAGATCGTTAATAGTAGCCGTTACCGTGTCCCTCTCCCAGGGGTACTTAGCTAGAGCTCGTGATAATCATAGTTATTCAGATCAGTCCCCTGAGGGCTAGGGCGGTGCGGGGTAATCGATATGTATCGGCGTCTTATAGCCGTGTGAATACTAATGTTTCGTGTGTCAAATCTTCTCGTCGAGAGGTGTGTAAGTGGGGTGTGATGCATTGGGTTAGGGTGTGTCTTAGCCCACAGGTAGGGCGTTGTTGAGTGTTGTTATTAAAGATATGTGGCATTACACAATTATTGTAGGTGGGATGGGAAGAGGATGGTGTTGGTTCGAGAAGAGGACACGGTAGCATGTGGGAGTCCCTCCAGCAATGTGAATATTTAATCGAGGTGTTCTCATTCTTCTCTCAACTGTCCGCATTTGGTGCAGGAGGGCCATTGTGGGAGAGCCCAGTTGTGTCATGAGGTTTCTCCAGACTTGGTCAACCTGTTGCCTGACCGTGTTGTGTTCCATGTCTAGCTTGTATGATCGGGTTGTGCATGTCGCAATAGGCGTGCGTTGGAAGTGTCGTATTAGGTGTCTTGTGTTGATGGAGGTATGAGGTACAAGTTAGCCGTAATGCCCCGTGGGTGTGAAGGTATATCGTCGTCATAAGTAAGGAGGGTTGAGGGCGAGGGGTCCCTACATGTGAGGGTCGTTGTGTTCTGCAACACCCAGTCCCTCGGATGGTTCGTCTGTCCGGTCAGGTCCCAGTCAGCCTGTTTTGTCATATGGTGTATAATCAGGGTTCTCATGGGGGTCAGGGTGATGTGTCTGACGTTTATCAACTGATTGGGTGTGGATAACGTGCAGTGTTAGATCTGTCTCATTTTATCTCTTCCCCTCCTTGGGGGTGGTGGAGGTCCGGAGACCGTTGTTCTTGCCTGTGAGGGCTCATAGTCCGTCGCTGTGTCGTGCTGTCTAGTTAGGGGCGATATGTGAGTATCGACTAGTCAGTTAATTGTGTGTATTTATGTGGGCCGCTTAGGGGCGTTTTTGTTGGCTCAAGTCATCCTTTGTAGTGTCTCGTCCAGTCGGGGTGGTGTGGATGGTACATGAGGCTTAGTGTCTGCCAACAGGAGTGACATTGGGCGGCCGTCGGCTATAATGTATGTAGTGAGTCTGTCGAGAGGGCTGCGCCGTCCCCCGGCCCCCAGCCCCCCCCGCCAGCGCCCCCCTATTGTTGCGCCCGGAAGGTGAGCCATGGCTCCCAGATGTTCGCATATTTTGCCTCTCTGCCCGTCAATTCTGCCTGTAGTGCCTCCGCCGCTCTAATGTCTTCGACTCTGTGAATCCACTCTTCTCTTGTGGGGATTTCTGTATTCTTCCAGTATACTGGAATGAGTGATTTGGCGGCGTTTAGTAGATGGCGTAGTACAGATTTTTTGTATGCGGATAGTGGTTGTGAGGAGATGTGCAGTAAGGCCAGTTCTTGAGACCATTCAGTGTCGTTCCCAAGGATTAGGAGAACATCTGATTTGAGTTGGTTCCAAAATGGTGCTATAAGTCTGCATTCCCACCAGATGTGTAATAGAGTCCCGTTGTCTTCCTGGCATCTCCAACACGTTGGCTCGACAGCAGGGAAGATCCTGTGCAGTAGTACCGGTGTTCTGTACCACATGGAGATCAGTTTATAGTTTACCTCCTGATACCGCGAGCTAGAGGAGCTCTTATGTTGCCATATCAGGGCTTTGTCCCACTGCGTCAGTGTGAAAGTCTTGTCCATGGCCCGTTCCCAGAGTCGTTGGAAGATGTTGTTGTCCGTCGTGTGGTCGGTCAGCAAGTATTGGTACAGGTTCGAGATTGATCTCCCTAGTGATGCGCCACGAAAGCAGAGGTCCTCAAACCACGTGAGCTCTCTTCGTAGTTTGTCCTTATGTGGCAAAGAGTTGTAAAAATGTTGCAGCTGTATATATCGGAGAATTGCCATCGGTGATCGTGGTCGGTCGACCAGCAGCGCATCTAGTGTCTTTAGGGTACCATCCTGGGTGACCAAGGATATCGGGATGTATTCCGCGTCCCCCAGGAATGTCCAGGCTTCCCCAGGCAGCCCACCTCCTATATCGGGGTTGTGTGCAAGCGGCAGCAAGGGGCTCGGGGTCGGAGAGACCCTGGGTATTTCCCTAAGGCTTTCCCATGTAAGCAATGTCTGTTCTACCGGGCCTTCGGCTTGTTTCCTACCGCTCCTGGTCGTCCGTCTCCTCCACACCATCGCTTTTAGTTTTGCGGTGTCTCCCTCCCTGTCCAAATACACCCATTGCTTGCTCGTGTCTGTTTCATGCCACTCCAGGATCCGTTGTAGGGTCGCCGCTTGGTGGTACTTTTTGAAATCCGGCAGCGCTAGACCCCCTCTGTGCCTGGGCATACACAATAAGTCGTGGCGTAGTCTAGATCTTTCGCCTCTCCACGTGTAATGGATAACAGCCGACCGGAGTGTCGAAAAGAATGTCGACGGTAGGGCAGCTGGGATGGTCTGGAATAAGTATAGGATCCTCGGGAGAATGTTCATTTTAAGGACCGCTATGCGGCCATGCCACGTTATGTGCGGGTAAGCCCATTTTTTCAGGTCCGATTCGATTGACTGCAGGAGTGGTGCGAAATTCAGTCGGTATAAATCCTTCGGATCCGTCGGAATCCAGATTCCTAGGTATTTCATTGCCCCTGCACACCAACGAAATGGGAAGAGCGTGCCTAGGGATTGGTATTCTGCCGCAGGTACGGTGATGTTTAGCGCCTCACATTTCGCCAAGTTTAGCTTAAACCCGGATATCTGGCCAAATTTATCGATTTCTGAGAGTATGCACGGCAATGTGATCCGTGGTTGGGAAATAAAGAACAGGAGGTCATCTGCATAAGCTGCCACCTTATGTTCCGTGCCTTGCCAGGAATAGCCATGGATGTCCGGTTGATCTCGGACTGCCTGTAGCAGTGGCTCCAGGGAGAGAGCGAATAGGAGCGGCGATAGGGGGCATCCCTGCCTGGTGCCGTTTGTAATTCCGAAGCTCGGTGTCAGAGCTCCGTTAACACGAACCGACGCTCTCGGCGAGCTGTATATGGCAGATATCCACGCCATAATCCTCTGCCCTAAGCCCATGTGCTGGAGTGTTCGGGTCATGTACGACCAATCTACCCGGTCGAAAGCCTTCTCCGCATCTGTGGATAACAGCAGGAGAGGCTTCCGGTGTTTCCTTGCGTGATGTTGTACAGAGAAAAGGCGTAGCGTACTGTCCCGAGCTTCTCGGCCCGGGATAAATCCCGTCTGATCCACATGGACTAAATTTGGCAGTATCTGTTGAAATCTGGTCGCCAAGACTTTTGTCAGGAGTTTCGTGTCCACATTCAGCAGGGAGATTGGACGATAGCTGCCGCACTGTTCCGGGTCTTTTCCGGGTTTAAGTATGACGGTTATCGTTGCCGTAAGGGATTCCACTCCAAATTGTCCCCCCTCCGTTACTTTGTTGACTGCCTTTGTCAGCCACGGCAGTAGGATCTGGGCGAAGTGCTTGTAATAGCTCGTGGGAAATCCATCCGGACCCGGGGCTTTCCCCGTTTTCGCACATTTAAGTGCCGCCGCCAGATCGTCGGTGGCAACCGGTTCATCCAGCGTGGACGCCATTTCTGGGCTTATTTGTGTCCGTATGGTGTCTTGTAAGTATGTTCGTATATGTGGGGACAATTCCTGCCTATGGGTCGGCTCCTCCGAATGGCGGAGGTTATATAGCGAATTATAGTATTCTCGAAATTCCCCTGCTATGTCCTCCGGGTGCTGGGATATGCTGCCTGATGACAGTCGGATTTTTCGTACCTGCGTGCGTGTCATATCTCCTCGGAGTAGGCGCGCGAGGAATTTCCCCCCTTTATTCGCGTGTGTATAAAAGAAGTTTTTCGACCTTTGAAGCGATCGTAGGTATCGTTTTGTAAGAAGGGCTGTCAGGTTACGTCTGGCTTCCATTAATTCGCGGTATGTTTCAACTAGTTGTGAGCGTTTGTGTTGAAGCTCGAGGCGCGAGATGGTGCCGTACAATTCTGCTATCGCGCGGGTTGCTTCCTTCCGTTTGCGGGTCGCAATGCTAATAAGAGTGCCGCGTATGACACTCTTGTGTGCTTCCCACACGGATATAGGGGACATCTCGTCCGTTCCGTTTTCCTGGAAGTAGTGTTCCAGTGCTTGGGAAACCTCAGTCCTCACCGCGAAATCCTGGAGTAGGGATTCGTTCAGGCGCCAGGTCCAGGTTGTCGGTTTAAATAACGGGGACTCCAGTTCTATTTGGACCGATCCGTGGTCTGACCATGTTGCAGGTTCTATGGATGCCTTTCTCAGTCGAGATAGTCCGTCTTGCTTAATCAATACATAGTCAATCCGGGAGTAGCGATCATGTATCACCGAATAGTGCGTGTAGTCTCTGCTGGTGGGGTGTAGCGTTCTCCAGCAATCGACCAGCGACAGCTCCCCTAATGATCTGCGTATGGATCTAATGTGTTTTTGTGAGAGGCTGCTGTAGCCAGTGGATGAGTCCAGGAGCGGGTCCAAGGGGGCATTAAAATCTCCCCCGACTATGAGGGCCCCCTCCGAGAATCCTTGTAGAGCGCGTAGCGTTGTCCGCAGGAATTGTGCTTGTTTTGAATTGGGTACATAAATAGACGCTAGGGTGTATACTCTGTCAGCTATCACCCCTTTGAGAAATAGGAAGCGTCCATGTTCGTCAACCATCCGGTCCAGTTCCTGAAAACCTAAGTTCGCCGCTATCAGTATTGCGACTCCTGCCCGACGAGCCAGTGGGTGGTTGTTGCAGTAGCTTATAGGGTAGTATGTGTTACGGAGTTTGGGAGCAGCGCCTTCTTTGAAATGAGTTTCTTGTAGCATCGCGATCGATATATGCCTCTGTTTCAGCACCCTCAGCAGGTGAGAGCGGCGTTCCGGGATATTCAGTCCCCTGCAATTGAGTGTCATGACGGTCATGGGGGTGCGATGGTATGCCATGGCTCTGTCCGGGTCGATGTACGCTCGTCTGCAGGAGGTCCGCCCGAGCGGCGCAAGGGTCCGGGCCGACGGCGCAGCCCCACGAATGATGATGAGTTAGGATAGTGTACGGGTGTTCGTATGGCTAATGTGGGTCTATGAAGGGTGGAGGGAGCGTCAGGGAAGCCTGTTTGTCGTCGTCCGCTGTCAGGTGTGTTGTCTCTTTGTTCCTGTGTGGAGCCCAAACGCGTGTGGTGATTGCGGTGAGTGGGGTATGTGCAAAGGTATGTGTGTACGTGTAAGAGAGTATGTGGGTGTGGAGTATGAGTGTGGTGTAGTGTAGGTTGATAGATTAAAATAAGGGTGGGCAAAGAGAACCCCCCTATCGGGTAATGTCCCCGTGGGGTAAACGGTGGTATTACCCCGGAGCCTCCTTCGAGAAGGAGGAGTACCTGCGCCTCAGCAGGAGTGGCCAGGTGTCCCCCCGATAACCAGATCGGTGAGTGGGTGTACCTGTGGCTCCGCCGAGAGACTTGCGCAGGTGAATGCGTAGAGCAGTGGTCGGTGTCTAAACCAGGTATGGTGAAGCGTATGTGTGTAGAATGTATATCTATCCCGCTCCATCCGGGCCCTAGCCCAGGTGTGTATGAACATGGGGAATTTAGGTATATCAGAAGGTGGGCTATACGATAACAGATATAATTGATTAAGGTATATACAAAAATAATATCAATAACAATAAGTATGCAGAAACATTCATCACCCCTTGTTGCCCGCTGTCACTGCTAGTGTACTCTTAGGTCAGGTCCCCTTGTTTGGTCCTAGGCAGTTTCCATAACCTCCCCCCATCTTTCCACTCGGTCTCAAGTTCCCCTCTGACACATCATATCAAGAGCAGTCGGGCCGGGTTTATCCCATGGGAAGTGACAGCTCCAACTCCGTCACTCTGTTTCTCAGTAGGGTAGGTTCTGGGTGTGAGGTAGGGCCGTACGTCTCCTCATAGACTGTGATCGGGGGTATGTCAGGGCGTCCCAGGGGCCATAGTAGTGTACTGTCTCATATATCTCATTTATCCCTAAGTAATATGTAACATAGCTAACAGTTTTAGAGATAATATTTAATTAAGTTTTTTCCTTTTCCCCCCCCTTTTTTCCACCTGTTCTCAATTCCCTCCCCTTCCCTTCTCTTTACCTTCGCTCTTGTCCCTTTGTCATAGGTCTGGCCCCTCCCCCTCCCCCCCGTCTTCTCCCCTTCCCTCCACACCCCCCTCGTGTTACCAGCCCTCCTCCTCTCTTCTCTTCCTCTCCTGTCCTACCTCTCCTTTTCTCCCCCTTTCCCTGGGCCCGCAGCTCACGTCTCTCATCCCCTCTCCCCTTTCCCCTTCCAAAATATAATCTCTCGGGTGTCCCCCCTCCTCTCGACCCCTCAGAGCATAAATATATACATTGGTTCCGCTGCCTGTCCTACCCTTCCTCAGTTCTCCCCTTCTGTCGTCAGTCTAGGGCGCTCTGTAAAGCAAGTCTAGTGCCCCTGTTCTGTTACCAGGTGTAGTCGAGTCTACCTCACTGCGGGTGGTGCAACATCACAGTTAAATGCATCAAGTACAGTAAAAATAAGAGGTACTTATTGAGATGAGAAGGTTCTAAGGATACATCTCCAAAAAGTGGTAGGTAGTCATTTGCTCAGTGAGCAGATCTAAAAGTCTCGTTCCGCAGTGATACCATGCGCTTCAGTGCAGTGGGCCAGCTCTGTTTTCCCAGGCATAGAGGAGAGAGAGAAGAGGAAAAAAAAAAAAAAAGGGAGTTGGAGAGGGGGAGCAGCAAAGTTCCCGGTGATGTGTCCACTGTTCATACTCCTTCTATACCCCCCCCTGTCTCGGCAGTCACATTAGACAGGGTTGGGGAATGTTTCTGGTCAGGGGTAAATCGGCCAACAATAACAGCAATGGGCCAAGTCCCAGTCCGGTATGGGGTGGTGGGGGTAGTGCTCTGGCAGTGGGGACAGTACTTAGCTGGCGGGTGGGTGAGCGGCATCAGGATGACGGTCGTCAATCTCGGCCTTCCTGCGCCTCACGGCGTCGTTGTGCAGGTCTCGGCGGTGATCTTCCCCCACGTCGGCAGGGTGCGCGTTGCGGCCTCTGGCCGGGCCCCAGTGGCCCTAGGATCCAATCCGGTATTGGTGTAGGAGGGAGTCCAAGTTCTTCCAGAAAGGCGGGGGCCTCCTCCGGGCCGCGGAGTGACACCCAGCTATTCCTGTGTCTTGCTGATAGGGCAAACGGGAAGCCCCATTTGTAGGGGATGTTGCGGTCCCTCAGCAAAGACGTAATGGGCCGCAATGCCCTCCTAGCGTCCAGGGTGGTCGGGGACAGATCGTTGTACAGCGAGACTTGTGCTCCATGATAGTCCCAGGTGGGTTGGGCCCTGGCCGCCTTCATGATGGCATCTTTTGTCGCAAATGAATGGAT